AATAACCGACACGAATCCAATTAGACAAAAATAGGACTGCATTTTAACAGTCAATTGGCGAACAAAAAGCAAGCGACTATTGCCAGTGAAGCTAAATTGGTACAGTATATATTTATATATGTGTGGGGGATGTGTCTCAAAGAACACGCAAAAGAGAGTTTAGAAATGCCACAATAATAAAAAGACAATGTGAGTCCGAGCGAGATAGTGAATGGGAAAAGCGAGGCAAATTCCAAGAAACATAAAAAATCCAAAAGTTTCGTCAGCAACAGGATTTGAACCTGTGCGGGAATATCCCATCAGATCACTCACATTGCTGTTTCGAGTCTGACGCCTTAACCACTCGGCCATACTGACAGTTTTGGATTCGTTTTTTTCGTCTCCCCACATTCGCCCCCCTGTTCTTCACCAATTTGGCCCTTCTCCTTGGCCCACTCTTTCCTCATTTTCCCACTTCACTCAACCTCAATGCTGCTTTTATGCTTGGTTTATTAGAAATAATGGTTTATTGTAACAGTATAAAATATTCTATAAAATGCCAATTTCTTCTAATGCCCGCTGCCTTAGTGGCCTATTTTCTACTTGCCCTTGGAAAAGCAGCACATAGATGACATGCATCCCGAGTCTTCTACACAATGCAAAACAAGCCACCATTCAATTAGTACATTTATCTCTATTTATATCATATGGGTAATAATTTTTGAAGGGTAAATTTTGGTGGTTAGTGTTTATAGGGGCAATCGTAGCCAAGTTGATGTCCAGTTTTACTAGTAAACTTTCACTCTTCAAAAATTATTACCCATATAAACTCCAACCCTTATGCATCAACTGATTCCACAGTTTACTTACCTTGACTCTTGTCTGCCTCATGCCTGTTCATGGTGATGCTGGCGATGTTGGTATTCTGGCTGGTATTGGAAAATTTCTCTGGATTGTACCCAGTCTTGTTGATTGGTATAGGCGTTGCTGCTGTTCTATCTGGCTTGGCTGTTATAGTCTTGGCTGCTTTTGGTTGAGGATGAGCAGGGGGAGTTTCTGTGATGTCCATTTCCTGCTCTGGTTGAGCGACATTCTTCTCCTCACTCTTCTTCACATCTTCCTTCTTTTTCTTTTCTCCTTTCCTCGTGAGCTTCTTTGCCTTTTGTTCGATTCTGTCAGCAAGGGATGGTTTCTGTGCAGAATCAGACTCCTTATTCTTAGCATCTGCCTGCACATTATTTCCCATCTCCTCTTGCTCGACGCTGTCAACAAGGGTTGGTTTCTGTACAGAATCAGACTCCTTATTCTTAGCATCTGCCTGTACATTATTTTCCATCTCCTCTTGCTCGACGCTGTCAACAAGGGTTGATTTCTGTACAGAATCAGACCCCTTATTCTTAGCATCTGCCTGTACATTCTCCTTTTGCTCATCGGCAGGCTCATGTGCTCCGACAGTCTCTGGCTCGTTGCTGATGTCCTGCTCCTGTATTTCTGAACCGGCAGTTTCAACAGGAACCCTAGTATCATCCAACTCGGGGTTATCGGCACCAGGGCTGGGTCTATCTTCTGGCATCTGTTCTACATTGCTTTCCTCCTGCTTGTGGACAGCTGTCTTCTTGGCACTGTCCTTTGACTTTTTATTTTTACTGTCTTTGGCCTTCTTGCTCTTTTTGGACTGCTGCGTGCTAGTTCTTGAGACTGATACTTCGTTGAGAGGGATGTCTTCGTACACATCTGCATCAGAACTCTCTGTGGTCGATGGTGTTTTGGGTTTATTATCAGGGGCTTCTCTGTGCTGTTTAACTGGGTGGGTATCCTTGGCAACATTGCTGTTGTTGCTATTGGTACTCTCTGCAGATGCTGGGGTTTTATTGTCCTCATCTACAGTCACCTTCTTGGTCTTTCGCTTTGAGAACTTTGCCTTAATCTTGTGGATAGTAGGGCTTGAAACGGGTGAATCTGACATTGTGTATAATGTGTTGTTTTGTTGTAATGTATTAGTAAAATATAAATAATATATGGAATAAAATAATTGTGTATAGAAATTGCATTTTCTCAACCTGGGGCAATGGAGCATATTATATCATTTTAGACATGGCCGTGCCCGCCTGCACATACACACGCACACGCACATATGCACAGAAAAATAACATTCTGCCAGCACCAAATACAAAAAATGTCGGTACAAAGGATGCGATGTGGCAGGCAAGGCAGGCCGATTGCTGTAGAAACCGTCTGATAGCAAAAAGCATAGAGAGCGCACAAAGGCTACGATTTGGCCACACTCGCAAACAACCCACCCGCCCCATCGCAAGCACCGACCCCAGGCTTTCCATGATATTTGTTGTTCTCTCAGTGTGAAATTCGTGTGGCAAAGCAGTCCCAGCCATAGCCTGATACAACATCCCCGTCTCAGTTGAGAATACCAACACATATCTCATCCCCCTCCTTCTACCATCAGAAGCTGTTTTTCTATTGTATGTTACACGCAAAGTAATTCTTTGGTTTGTTTTACTTGGATGTATGGTGTTTGTAGA